TGGCCTAGTGTCAAAAAGTTGCACGCAATCCCAGCAGTACGCGGTTCAAATCCACCATATGCTTTGCTGGAGAAAAAGGGGCAATCTCCTCCTGTACCAGTCAAATCTGATTTGGCAGTACACACACACACAAATTAATAAAATTTTTGAAAAAAGGATGAAGGAAAGTATCAACAGCCAGTGAGGTTTGCAATGTCAAACTAAAACTCACTGCACTGAAGGTGGTTCTGATTTATGGACGCTCATATTTGTTTTCTGAGGGTGTAAGGCTTTCTGGGCAACCCCTCTTTTTTCTGTGGAACAACTGGAGGGTTTGAACTGCTGATCTGGGGGTTGGCAGCCTCAAGTGTAATGGACTAAGTCAACCTGACAACTTAAGAGTTTGCAAGCAAGGAAGGGAACTCTGTACTGTTAACAAGGAGAAGACATCCGGTAGCCTCAGGACAGGTAAGGAAGAGACTTAGAAGGTGGAATCGCATAGTGAGGGAGGTGGGAAGATACGAGGAAAAAAAGATTTGTAAATCCTCGAAAAAACAATATGATGAATCAAAAAATGCAACAATCCCTACAACCTAATTATGTCTTGAGTTTAACGACAAGGAAAATTATTCTATTTTCTGAAGAAGGTGTGAACTTTTTATTTATATTCCTCTGTAAATAAATACTGTTTATCCTGTTAACAACCAAGTACCCATAGATATTAAGAGCTTGTTAGAGTGAACTAAAGAAACAAAAGGTTAAAATAAAGAAGAGGGGGGGAAAAGGAATACACACAATGGAGACAAATAAGCCTCTTTAGAAAAAAAGTCTGTATTTCTCTTAAGTCTTAGAAAGGAAAAGATCTCACAGTGAAAAGCGATTCATAGACATATTTCTTTTTATCCTTAGACATCCGTCCAGATGTGATGCCCTCTTTTACTTGAATGAGTTCACAGCCTTCTCCCCCCACTGCTTCTCTCTCACTCACCTGAAAAGCTTTCACGATTGTGTTCAGGTAACTTAATCCATCGTTGTTCACCTCGGTCCAACCAGGCGAGTGCATCAGGTTTGCTAGGTTGACACCCTGTTCATGATAAAATAGATAATCTTAGACATTAAAAAATTGGCAATAGTTTTAAAAAGGATGTACCTGGGGGGGAGGGATGAAAATGTGCAACAATGAATGAGCGGAAATCCACATTCTCTATAAACTTTCATTAACATCTCAATTAAAAAAAAAAGGGGGGGAAATGTGTATTTCTCTTATGTCTTAGAAAGGAAAAGAGCTCACAGGGAGAAAAGATACATAGACACACTCATTTGCATCCTTAGGCACCCGTCTAAATGTGATGCCTTCTTTTACTCAGAGTTTCTACTCCCACTGCTACTCTCTGACTCACCTGAAAAACTTTCACTGTGGTGTTCAGGTAACTTGATCCATCGTTGTTCAGCTCGGTCCAACCAGGTGCGTGCATCAGGTTTGCCAGGTTGACACTCTGTTCATGGGAAAGCAGATAATCTTAGACATAATCTTAGGCAGTCATCTTTTATGTGAGTAAGTGCCTTTGAAAACCCACCATGTGGTCAGGAATGACTCAGCCTTATCCTAGGGCAAATAACAACAACATTTGGATATGACTGTAAATAAAATATCATACTTTTATTACTACACTTACCAAAAAACCCCAAACAAACAACATAACAAAGAAGTACAGTGAGATCTCTCTTCCAGGTGAAGCCGTTCCCCATTCCCTGCAGATATAGGACATCTCCTTGGCGTGAATCTGCTGATGGGCAGTGAGACGATTCATCTTCAGGAAGCCTTTTCCACACTCCCTGCACACACAGAGTCTCTCTTCTGTTTGAGTTCACTGATTAACAGTGAGATCTATCTTCCCGGCGAATCGTTTTTCACAGTCACCACGTACATGAGATTTTTTTGCATTTTGTGCACATTCTGACTCCTCTAGGATTGGGCCCCAGTGCTAGTGGATAAATGTGACTCTCTGGGAACTTCAGTTCAGTACAAAATTGCTGACAGGCACCAGGCAGGATGTTTTCTCATTTCTAATAACCTCAGCAGAGTTCTTTATTTGATTGTTTCTTCTCTGGTGGACTGTTGGTAAACTGAAAATGAATTTCACTGTGGTTTCAGCTAACACAACATAGTTTTCCACAAAATAAAAACGGGCTTTGTGCTGATGATCAGAATTTTCCAACGCATTCAAGTTATCCCATTGTTCCAAGACGTGTAATCTTTCATTACACAATAGCCGTCATCAGAATACAAGAGAAAAATGAACCCTTCCTTTATCAATATTTGAAATGAAGTCAGTAAAAAAGAAAAGCAAAGAGCTATGGTTGTGATTTGGATATTTAATGCGAACCTTGAGATATGAGTGTGAATATAACATCACATTTACTATTAACGTGCATGCTGAAAAAAGCACAAAATAAACAACCTAAACAGTGAAAGTAATTACTGTAGGACTAAGGACAGGAGCCCAGGGGGGCAGCAGAGAGCTGTCGTACAATCCCGAACTCAGCAGTCTGCAGACACTAACTAGCTGCAACCAGGAAGAATGGGCAATGGTGGTGTGTCGTGATACCATGGAGTTAACTACAACTCACGGAGACTCTGTAGCAACAGTAGCTCTGAAACTGGCCCTATCCTGACCCAGTCTCATTGTCTTTGACACACCTGCTCCCATTGCCACAGTCACTGTGTCAACCCATCTCATCCAGGGTTTTCCTACCCCTTCAAGCACGATGTCTTTCTCTAAGGAGTGTTCCCTCTTGGCAACATGCCCTAGGTATGTGACACAGCACTTCAAAATCCTTGCCTCCAAGGAAAAACTTGGCTTCACCCTCTCTAAGAAAAGCTATGTTTGTTCTTTGGGCAGTCCGTGGTATGTTTTATGTGCTTTTACAACACTCTAATTCAAAGGCATCGATTCCTCTGACATCCTTACAACTCTGTGGCAATCAGCTGCTCTGACGTATGATGAATGAATACAGATTTGACTGTTTCTTAAAATACAGCTCAACTTGTTGCCTGTGAGTTGGAACTGACTCATAGCTGACCTTGGAGAAGGTTTTCAGAGGTTATATATCACATGGGAGTAAACAGTCCATCTTTCTCTGTGGAACAGCTAAACATCTGAATCACTTGCGTTTGGACTGTAAGTGCAACTCCTTACCCACTAGGCCACCAGAGCTCCCAGGGGAAAATGTAAACTACGAGTCAGTTTATGAAACCCACATATTAAAGGAGTTGTATTGCCGTCCAGTCTCTAATTGGTTGAGAAAGATTCAACTAGTCTACAAACTCTTCCTGAAAGACAAGTCTTCGCCTGTATAATCATCTATGAAACAGATGAGTAACTCATTAGCATGAAGTAAACTTTAAAAGGCTAGGAGAACAAAGGGAAAAATGGAAACCGGCGTCTGTGCAGGTTTGTTTCCATACGTACAAACAAACAGATTTAATATTAAAAAATACTTGGTAAAGGAAAGCATGGGGGAATAAGGAAACACTAGCCCCTCACTCACTGGGGTCAGAACCTCTAGATATCCGCAAAACAGGGAAAAGAGAAGCTAAGGAAAGAGATGAAAGCACAGGGGAAAAAGACGTTAGGGCAGGAGGACAACAGCGAGAGGCTCACAATCTCAAACTCACTCTCTGATGTGGTGCTGACTCGTGGAACCCTCATCAATTGTCCAATTATATAGGTCTTTATGGAAGAGACTGCCCATCTTTCTCCCGTGCAGAGTCTGAGTGCTGGACTTAGGGTTGGCAGTCTTAAATGTAATGAACTCCTGGGTCACCTGGGTTCTTTGGTTTCTGAGCACGGAAGGGAAGAAAGTATTATAGGAAAGTGGGAAAAGGTGCTGAGTCCCGAGGACAGGCAGGAGTCACTTGACAGAGATTACAAAGTGGAATTCTGTAAGTCTGGGAAGTGGAAGGACAGGAGGGAAAGATTTTTTTTTTCTTAATT